ATCTTATAATTGATGTTGGAGTCCCTTGACAGCATACACAAACACAGCACAAAGAAATGGCAGCAGCCCTGGCTGGTGTAGCTCAGTGGGTTAAGTACCAGCCTGCGGACTGAAAGAAAGGTCGTTGGTTTGATTCCCAGTTGGGGCACATGCCTGGGTTGCAGGCTAGATCCCCAGTTGGGTGCATGAGAGAGGTAACCCATCGATGTTTCTCTTGCACATCAATGTTTCTTTCTCCCTCCTTTCTCCTCTCTCAATAAGTAAATATTTAAAAAACAAATCAGTAAGAAAAACTCAGATTTAAAGTAGGCAACATATTTGAGCAGAATTTTCATTAAAGAGCACATCGATCATTAGGCCTACAAATGTTTCACATCAGTTATAAAATCATAAGCTAAAACTTGAATGAGAAAGCACTACAAATCCACTAGGATGAAGCCATTTAAAAAGAATCACAATATCAAGACTGGGCTCAGGCTAACTCAGAATTTAGTGTCTGTTGATTACAGTTATCAAAGGTCTTGCCCTGGCTGATAGGGCTTAGTGGATTGAGTGCCAGCCTGTGAACCTAAGTGTTGCCAAGTCAGGGCACATACCTGAGTTGCGGGCTAGGTCCCCACTTGGGGGTGTGTGAGAGGCAATTGATTGATGTACCTCTAGCACATCGATGTTTCCCTCCCTCTCCTCTCTAAAAAAAGTAAATAAATAAAAAATTTAAAAAATCAACTAACACTTCTGATTCCTTATATTTGAATCGGCAGAAAATGGTTAACACATTTTAGCTAAGAGTGGATGTATTTTGTGTCTGGATGAGAATACGTCGTACCTCTTTGGATTTGTAGTCTTTGTGAATAATTAATATTTTCCTTCTAAGGAGCATTCTGAGCTTCACGGTGTAATAGGGAATAAACACTTTGTACAGCTCTGGCTTTCCATGACATAGAATTAGACTAAGATGTACTAACAAATTGATAAAAAGAACTCGCATACTAACAGTTTGTAAACATGTTGCAAGCGCCAGTAGTTCCTCTTCCTGCTTGTCCAAGAAAGGCCTTGAGCACCACTTCCGGTGACGGAGATCACTCAACTGCAGGCAATTGGCTGGGACTGATCAGTTCCAGGATCTGACATTAAAGATCCGTATCAGGACTGCTAAGGACACTGCCAGCACATCCAGTCTCCTCCCCTGAGCTCTTGTCTTCCTTGTCCCACTCTGTCTGTATAAAAACCCTTGCCTTTGCCAAGATGCGAGGTTGAGTTTTGAGAGGCGAGTCCCCTGTCTTCCAGAGTGGCCGCCCCTGAATAAAAACCACGTTCCTTCACGTCAAAACCTGCCCCTGGAGTGTTGGCTTTCCAGGTGGCGGACAGGCACAACTGCGGTTCCAGTTTTGAGGAGCAAGACGGGGTCTGAATAATGTCTCCAAATGAGGGATCAGAAGCAGACCCCCCACCCCCGAAACCTGCGAACACCCCTGCAACCTAATGCCCTGTCCCAGCGCCACTTGGCTTGGTGCCACGGCATCCTTATTGGCCAAGGACAGGAACGGGGAAGGGGATGGAGCGCAGCCACTGCGTTACCCAGAGGGCACCGCGCCCAAGATGGTGGCGTTGAGCCAATGAAAGCCCGAACCGTAGCGTTTTCCTGCCTGTGCCTAAGTTAGGCTGTGATTTCACAGTGTTTTTTGTTAAGGGACCTTTTTCTCTCTCTGGTCTGTTACACAGACAAAAGCTCCAAAGCGGGTGCGCGCCATGGGTGTGGTCTCCGCTGCGTAGAGGCGCGTCCTGGGCTTGACGACCCGCCACGGCCCCGTCAGGGCCGCCGCGCCTCCGCTCGGCCCGCAGAGCCCGCTGACAGCGGCGGCGCCGAGACGCCCGGCTGAGGGGAGGGCGCGTCTCCCGGGTCTTCCCCGTCAGCCCTGCATCCCAAGCCCCGGCGTCCGGACGGAGAGGCGCTTGTCACGTCTGGTGCGGCGGGGCCGCCGCGTAAAGACGCGCAGGGGCGGCTGAACCGGGAGGATCGGGGACACCCAGGCCCTGTTGTGTGTAAAGGCGACGGAGAAGCTGAGGCGACGTTGTGCGTGAGGAGTTTTCCTTCCATTCTCCGGAGCGGAGGCCGTGGAGGGCTGTGAACAAAACAGGGACACTGTCTGAGATCGGGTTGTAACGTTTTCCCAACACCGCTCCGAGGCAGGAGAGACCAGAAGAGGCGACGGCGGGTGGGAACCGGAAGGTGCGTCCTGTGGAAGGTGAGGGCACTGGCAGAGTCTGCACGGGGGGCGGCGGCCCTGAGGTGGCGCGGGCACCTCGAGGGCACCGGGTCCCGGGCCGGGCGAGGGTACTTAGCGGCCTGAGTCGGTGGGTCCTGGCGGAGGTGGCCAGGCTCTCGGCAGACCTTTCTCGTTCCGCAGACTCTGCAGAGTCACTTAGGGTCCTGGTTTGTGGGGCTTGTTTCAGGGCCTCCCACTCTTCTGGTCTGTGAGAGGGAGGTGTCCTGGGACTGTGGTGCCACTGTTCCAGCCCTTGGGCCTGGGGACCTGCGACTGACACCCAGCGCCCGGTTCTAAGTTTAGGTTTAGATTTATGTGAAGTGGTTCCTGTGTTTGGCAGCCGGTGGAATGAGACGCGGGAGGTCCTCCCAGGCAAAGGTACCAGAATGTGCAAGGGCTTGGAGGGGGGCTGAGCTGGTTCAGCACCTTGAGGTAGCCTTTCTTTCTTATAGGAACTGGGAGCAATGGGACAGGAGTCGAGTGTAAAGCAGCTCTGTGACAAGTTGGCTTTCCGTTCTACAGGTGATGGGAGCAATAGGAGACGCAGAGCAGTGGAGACAGGTGATCTGACCCAGGTCTCAGTGGCATCCCTGAGTCTGCAGCATGGAGAAGAGTGTGGGGGTGCGGGAGGTGGTAGAAGGACCAGGCAGGAGGCTGCTTGTAGAGTCTGGATGAGTGTGAAGGACCTGCAAGGGGGAGGTGGAGGCAGGAGAAGCAGTTGGATTCTAGCTGCGAGTTTTAGGTTCCAAAATGTTCTGATTTTGATGTTGAGAGAGAGAGAGAGAGAGAGAGAGAGAGAGAGAGAGAGAGAGAGAGAGAAGTCACGAATGTCTTGGTGGTTTGGTTTTACCAACTAGGTTATGGAAGCATTATCAGGTGAGAAGGGGAAAACCACAGTAGTAAGAGTAATTTTCATGGGTGACATCAGGAGTTCTATTTTTGGCCTCTTAATGGTATGAGATGTTTCAGTGCGCAGTTCATGGGTGTCTGGAACTCTGAGGAGGAGTTCACAATGGAGACGTCTCCAAGGGTAGTGGAGAGTGTACGGACCAGAGAGGAGCAGCAGGTCACTGTAAAATGTGGAATCGTGGTCATGATGATAATGGTAGCAGTAGCCCAGGAAGGCAGGGGACGGCTGAGGACTTGGTTTTCTGCTGTGGCTCCTGGTAGTGGGGAGTGTGTGTCATAGTGCAGCACAGGGACAGAAGTGGTCATGGAGAGGGTTGGGGAGAGAGTTTGGATTGTCAAGTGACCAAGGCCATCACAGTATGAGTAGACAGTGAGATAAATTGGAGGCCTAAGTGTGAGTAATTCACACAAGAGGAGACTGGAGCTGTTGCATAGTCACTGCTTCTAAAGGCTCACCAGGACTTTGCTGTGACCCTTGGTGGGGCCTGGGGTGCCCCAGTCAGGCTGGCGGATTAGCTTAGGGGCGCAAGTGGTCATCTGTGAGACTCACTGGGCATAGGATGGAGCACCACTGGGGCTGGGCCTTCAGTGAGTGGGCGATGGACAGGGGAGGGCTGAGACTTGTGGATGGATATCAGGTGCAGCACCCGTGGAGGAGGGCTGTGCGTATCTGAGATCTGATGTGGTTCTTGGTTGGTGTATTTGAATCAAGGAACTGTCAGGTAGAGAGGCCTGCACAGCAGGACTCAAGGCAGTTTCTGTCAGTGGGGACCATTGGAATGTGGGTAGTACTTGATTCTGTTTGAATTTACCATGTGTTCTCTGGACTGTGTATGCTGAGTACCAAGTAGAGAGGCCAAGGCAATGAGTATAGTGAGGGTGGGGGGAGGCTGGGACTGTGGAGTGCAGGTGTGAGAGAGAAGTGTGATAGGAAGAATGAGATGCACTTGGAGGCTGACAGTGAATTCATGGCCGCAGGGCCCTGGCCTTGATGGAAGAGTGAATGAAGGGTGAGCCCCTGTCTGGTGCTTTCGGAGAGAAATTACCTGAAAAGAGGGGGTGTTGTGGTCCCACCTGCCAGGTCCAGAGTGCAGATGCCATTCGTCTGCCTGCCTGCCTATTGTTGAGAGCTGATACAGTGATTGATAGGACCTTGATGAGCTGGCGGATGTCAGTGCCACCTAGGATTAAAAACCTCCAGTGCCACGGGGAAGGGAAAAGGGTAAGCAGAGGATAGATTATAGGGGGGGTGAAATTAGAATCCTGGGAAAGCACCTGATCTGAGGACAAACAGTCCCTGTCATGGCCGGGCTGTGCTACCTTTGAAGTTTTGTTTTTGGGAATGTAGTTGTGTGAGAGAAGTGTGGTTCACAATATTGCATGCAGAGAGTTGTGTAAACTGATGACCTCAGGGCCCTGGGATTGGGGTCATAAGGGTGAAGGGTAGTGCCTCTTTTTCTTTCTTTGGGAGAAACAATCTTAGTGACCACAAGGGTCTTTCCTGACAAGACTAGTGTCATATTGCTCATACCATCTCTCTGGCCAACTTCTCTCCCTAACCTATGTTTTTGACACCCACTGTGTTGACAACAGGCAGTGTGGCCCAGAGTTCAGGTGTTATGTATTCACGTATCTGCCTATGGTTGTGGGAAGACACAGCATCAATGGGAATATAGGAGAGTGACGCCGATGGGACCAAGGCCTGGTATCTTCTCTGAGAGAAGGAGTCGAGGGAGCAGATGGATGTGGAGGGTGGAAGGTAGGACAAACTTGGCATCCTAGGAGAGAAGCTGATCAGGGAATGAACTCTCCTCATTCTGACAGGATATGAAGTTTGCAGACGTGGCCATTGCCTTCTCCCAGGAGGAGTGGGGGCTCCTTGATGAGGCTCAGAGACTTCTGCACTGTGATGTGATGCTGGAGATTTTTGCTCTTGTAGCATCTGTGGGTAAGAAATTCATGTCTCTCTTCATGTCCTGAGGTGATGTCCTGCCTTCCCTATTTTTTCCAGGGGTAGCTCTGTCTTTCCCACAGCGAGACCGTGGGCTCTGCTGGTTTCCCCCCTCGTTGGTCATCTGTGCTGTGGCCACCAGTGCTGAGCTCTATGGAGTGCCCTGAGCCATGAACTCCCTGAGCAATTCTAACACCTGTTTCCTCAAAAAGTGCAGGGAAGTTTCTGGGAGTCAGGAGTCTTTTTGTTTTTTTAAAGGTTTTATTTATGTATTTATTTTTAGAGAGGAGAAGGTAGGTAGAAAGAGAGGTAGAAAAACATCTGTTGGTTGTCTTCATACATGCCCCAACTGGGGACTCAACCCACATTCTAGACATGTGCCCCGACCAAGGATCAAATCAGCGATCCTTTGCTTTGTGGGACGATGCCCAATCAACTGAGCCACACCAGTCAGGGCTGGGAGTCAGGAGTTTTACAAACAGCTTAATGTATCCCAGCTTGCTTGCCTGTTGCTTGGCAGGGTGACTGTATTTAGATCCATGGCCTCCAGTTCTGCCCCCATCGTCTAAAGAAAGGTTAGTAGTGTGTGACTGCCTGTGCCAGGTCATGGCCATTACTTCCATGAGCTGTGGTTCTTCTTGTAAGATCCTCCTTCGTTTGTTGTTTGTAATAATGTCATCTCTAAATACTACTGTATGCTGAGTTTCTGGGCCAGTACTGGCTCAGCGCTGGCGGCTCACCACTGCTATCTTTCATTAATACTGGGATCATTCAGTCTCAGAGTAGTAGTACATTCGAGGGTGCAGGGAGAACCATGCTATTTTCACAGGGTGGACATGGACAGATGGTATCAGAGGAGGTCTGGCCCTGCTGAGTGACAACTGGTGGAGGTCAGGACATAAGGGATGTCTCCAGATCATACCAGGAACCTCCCTTGTGTCCAATATTGTTTTAGTGCAAGTGCCACTGGCTACACCTCATTTCTACCTGTCCTTTTCCATATGTGACACCTTGCTGGCTTGTCATTTCATCTGTGACTTCCTGGCTTCTGGCTACCTTCATGTGTGTGGTCTCCCTGCTGTCCCTGTTCCTCTGCATGGCTCCCTCTGCAGTATTCTCCAACATTGACCTGTGCAGGTATTATGAAGTGCACACACTTTCTTAAGTGATCCTTGGACTACAGCTATCCATTTATATAATTACACTTGAAAACAAATATAACCAACGTTCTACACAGCTTGCCCATGTTGCCATGCCGAATGCTGTTAAAAGATGTGTTTGAGATACTTCTTCTTTTCCATGTGGGGCCTGCTATTTTCTCTCCATTCTCTGGTGAGGTTTTTTCCTAATTTGTGAATTTGAGAGGCCCAGGACTGCATAACAGCCTTTTATTCAACTTGCTTCCAGGTCCCTTACCTTGAGACAATCTTACGAAACCATCGTATTATGTCTGACACTCTTGTAATGAGACTTGTTCCTTCCACCAATGTCAATATCCATTCCATCAACATTTCTCTGCTTTCAGGTTGTTGGCATAAAAAGGAAGATGAGGAGGCCCCTTCTGAGCAGAGTGTATCTGTAGGAACAGAGCCACGGGTTGCGGCTGCTGAGAGAGCTCCTGCACCCCAGAAGACCCATCCCTGTGGGCGGTGTGTCTCAGTCTTGAAAGCTATTTTGCACCTGACTGAGTTCCAAGCAGCGCACCTTGAGCAGAAAGCATCCTTCAGTGATGAATGTGTGAGAGGCTTCTGTTTCAGCACAAGTCTTCACCATCAGCCGAGGCCTGCCAGTGCAAAGCAGCACTGGAAAAAAGATATGAATGGGGCCTCATTTGTGACCAGGTCCAGCTTTTACATATCAGAGCCACCTTTCATCCATGGGGAGGTTGGGGATGACTTCCCAGCCATCTCAGGCTTTCTCCAGCACCAGACCGCTCCTAACAGTGAAGAGCCACCTAGTGTTGGTGAAATTGGGGTGGCCTTTCACAGTGGAAAAAGTTATCACCTGTTGGGTGAATGTGAAAAGGCTGCCAGCCACAGCAGAAGAGTCATTCAGCATCGCGGTATATGCTCTGAAGAAGGGCTTTATGAGTGTAGCAAATGTGGGAAAGCATTTGGACAGGTCGTTAACCTCATTCAACATAGAAGAGTTCACAATGGAGAAAAGCCATATAAGTGCAGTGTTTGTGGGAAATGCTTTAACCGCAACTTTTTCCTCCTTCGACATCAGAGTGTTCACACTGGAGAAAAGCCATATGAGTGCAGTGTTTGTGGGAAATGCTTCAGCTGCAAATATATCCTCATTCAACATGAGAGAGTTCACACTGGAGAAAAGCTTTATGAATGCAGCATTTGTGGGAAATGCTTTAGCTACAAATTTAACTTCATTAAACACCAGAGAATTCACACTGGTGAAAAGCCCTATGAATGTAGTGATTGCGGGAAGTTCTTCAGACAAAGCTCTGCCCTCATTCAACACCAAAGAGTTCACACTGGAGAAAAGCCATATGAGTGTACAGATTGTGGGAAGTCCTTCAGCCACAGCTTTGCCCTCATTCAACACCAGAGAATTCACACTGGAGAAAAGCCGTATAAGTGCAGTATTTGTGGAAAGTCCTTCAGCCAAAGCTCTGCCCTTATTCATCACCAGATAGTTCATACAGGAGAAAAGCCGTATGCGTGTAGTGACTGTGGGAAATGCTTTGGCTATAGATATGTACTCATTCAACATCAGAGAATTCACACAGGAGAAAAACCATATGAGTGTAGTGATTGTGGTAAGTCCTTCAGACAAAGCTCTAGCCTCATTCAACACCAGCGAGTTCACAGTGGGGAAAGGCCTTATGAATGCAGTGAATGTGGGAAACACTTTTTCCACAAATCTGACCTCACTGAACACCAGAGAGTTCACTCTGGAACTGGACCTTATGAGTGTAATGAATGTGGGAAATCTTTTTCCTGCAGATCTAACCTTCTTAGACACCAGAGAGTTCACTCTGGAGAAAAGCCTTAAATGTATAGCGGATATTTTATTTCCTTCCTTTGTATAACAACACTGGAGGAGACTCTTCAAGAGCCATTTACTTGATTTTATGTCTTTCAGCAGATTATACACTGTGCTAGATTCCTTACAAGTTTTAGGTACAAGCAAGGCTTTAAGGAGCTGAGTTGCACTTTCTAACCTGCCCAGAATTATTACCCAATTGATGTCACTGCTAGATCTTGTGACTGAAGCCATTTCACCTCTACCACCTGGCTCACCTGCACAGTCTTTGTCAGTCACAACCCCAGTGTGCTCAGGGAAGCTGGCATTTGTTCTCCCTTTTCCTTGTGGAAATTAAGAATATTATGCGCTTTCACCAGGATCCTCATTCCTTTTCCTGTGACTAGGGAATGGGTCTGGTTCAGTGTGTGTTTAGAGGAACCATTCCCAGCTAAGAACTACTACCTCTTTTAGGGACTGTGTTGTACAAACTCCTTGCCGTATACTGCTGTGATGTATGACTTTTTGTGAAAATCTGTTTGCTCTTGTACCTTTAGTTTTCATGGTTCTGTTCTCTCTGTGGGATGATTTGAAAGCAGAATTGCAATCTTTTCAGCATGTAGCAGTTAACAGATTTTGTGGGGATTCCAAATTTTATATTTTAGGAGGGACAGAATAATGGCAGAAAATCACTCTTTGTCCAATATTGGCCTATTTTGTGTTGCTGCCTAAGTTCTTGAAAGACTGTATGACTTTGTAGTCCTAATTTGCATCCTGATGCCCAGATTATTAAGGAGGTCAAAGGTCACAGTGACGAGACAGCATTTGTTGTGTTTCTGTGAACAATATAAATTATATTCCCTTGTTTACAGTATATATTACATAATATTTGCTATCACTGAGGCAAGGCTGTTTTCTCCCAGGACATGAGAGAGACGGTAGAGTTTATATAGAGTTGCCAATCTAATTTTCTAAGAAAAGAGGGATATCTAAGTCATTATTTAGAATCAATTTTTAAAGCTTTGTTCAGGTATATGAATAATTGACAAGCAACAAAGTGCACTTATCTAATTTGTATTCTTTGGTGAACTTTATTACTTTATCTTATTTTTATTTCACACCCAAGAATGTGTTTATTGGTTTTTAGAGAGAGAGACAGACAGAAACATGGATGTGAGAGAGAAATATCAATCAGTTGCCTCTTGTATATGCCCTGATTGGGGACCAAACATGCAGAACAGGCATGTGCACTGACCAGGAATTGAACCAGCCACCTTCTGGTGTATGGGATGTTGCACAATCAATAGAGCCACACCAACTAGGGCTAGATTGTGAGGATTTTGATAACCTGAATACACAAAAATACTTTAAAAATATAAAAATGTTAGTGCTGAATTTTATTAGTAATATAAAGCAGGATACAGAATACAGGGTCTGCCAGAGGTAATGCCTGCCTGAGTGTGGTTGGTAGGGTAATAATATGGGTGTAATAATTTAGAGTTTTAATTTGAACATTTCACCTAAAATGTCATATTGTATACTTGAGTGTGATGTTGTTACAGAATTACATGCTTATGGTTTTGTAATAAAGGGGCATTATGTGTGCTGGACCCTGTATCTTTGTATTGTTTTCATTAGGTGTCTTTTATATCTATTCATCTATATGTACCATTTACCCCTCTATTGTCTGAAAAATTGTTCTTTGAGGTGTTAATATTCTATATACTTGGTTCAATATTTCTCATGTAATTTTAAATCCTGAGTTGCCTCTGAGTAATCCAGATATCTATGATACACACACTTGTATAATACAACTATACTTCCTACTACTAAGAGTGCAAAGTAGACCTCTCTAACCTCCGATTGTCAAATAAATAAAACAATAATATCTCACCGTTACAATTTTAGCAGTTCACGATTTCATGGTCTCCGAGGGCTTTTGTTGTTTTTTACTGTAAACTTTCACCCTGGATGTGTAGCTCAGTTGGATTGAGCATTCTTTTGATTAGCCAATGTTGTGGGTTTATCCCAGTCAAGGCATATAAAAGAATCGACCAAGGAATGCTTCAATGTGTGGAACAACAAATTGCTGAAGCTCTATCCCCCATCCTTTCCTCTCTATTTAGAATTAATAAATAAAAAAATTAAAAGATTTAGTCAACTTTTTAAAAAACATGTATCTAGTATACAAGCACTTTTCCTAAGACACCATTTTGATTCATTTATTTTTCACCTGGAGTTGGGAGTAGCTCCTGTGCCACACAGTCTCTGTTCTCCACTCTGCACTCAGGAAAACTCTGGCATGACCTTATTAGATAACTTTTTCTTCTGATCAAACCTCCCCAGTTACCTCTCAAATTGACACCCATCTACCAGTGGGAACTTGGGCTGCTTCCAAATCTTGGCTATTGTAAATTATGTTGCAGTGAAACCAGGGGTACAGACATTCTTTTAAATTAGTGTTTCAGGTTCGGATATATTCCCAGAAGGGGAATCGCTGGGTCATAAGGCAGTTCCATTGTTAATTGTTTTAGATAACTCCACGCTGTTTTCCATAGTGGCTGCACCAATTTGCATTTTCACCACAGTGCATGAGGCTTTCCTTTTCTCCACATCTTGCCAGCACTTGCTCTTTGTTGATACATTGATGATAGCAATTCTGACAGGTGTGAAGTGATATTTCATTGTAGTTTTAATTTGCCTTTTTTCTAATTAGTGATGTTGGGCACGTTTTCATATGTTGATTGGCCATCTATATGTCCTCCTTAGAGAAGTGTCTATTCAGGTCCTTTGCTTATTTTTCAGTTGGATTTTTTGTTTTTGGTATTAAGATTTATAAGTTCTTTATGAATTTTGGATATTAACCTTTTATCAGGTGTATCACTGGTGAATATGTTCTGCTATTCAATGGGTTGTCCTTTCATTTTGTTGATGGTTTCCTTTCTTGTGCAAAAACTCTTTAGTTTGATGTGGTTCCATTTGTTTGTTTGGCCCAAAAAGATATATCGGATAAAATATATCCAAGAAATGTTTGAGATTTTACTGCCTATGTTTTCTTCAAGGATTGTTATGGTTTTGAGTCTAACATTTAAGTCTAAGCCATTTTTAGTTTATTTTTGTGTGTGATGTAAGAAGGTAAGCAAGTGAATGTTCTTGCACATGCTTCTTGGTCAAGGGAAATTGTTTTTTCCAGAAGTCCTCTGTGAACCAGGTTGTGAAATAATAAAATAAATAGATAAATAAGAGAGAGAGAGAGAGAGAGAGAGAGAGCAAGCGCGCATGCGTGTGTGTGTATCTGCCACAGTTCCTGAGACAGAGCTCTGGAAATGCTCATAATTTCCTAAGTGATGAGAGCACTAAAAGCATATTTTGTTATAGCTAGTTTTGATTCCGGTTTTTGGCACAGTTCCCAAATCCTTCAGAATTTTCTGGGTGATAGGAGTGTCTTTTCTTTAAAATGAGGTGACTGAGTGGGTTCCTTGATGGCTTCTAGATGGGTGCTGGTCACCAGAAAGACCAAGCCATGATCAGAAGTTTGGAACTATCAGCCCTACCCCCATCTTCCAAAAAGAAGAGAGGGTCTAAAGATTGAGTTAATAATCGATTATGCTGTTGTAATTATGGAGTTCAAAGAACTTGGTGAACGAATCCATTGGCTAGGATTGTGGTACATTCCATTCAGCTCCACCGGAACAGATGCTTCTGAGATTGGAATCCTCCCAGATCTTGCCCTTTCCAATTTATGTATATTCTTTATTATATTTTTTTATTGTATAATAAGCTGGCAAATGTCAGTGTTTTCCTATTAAAGAATTGCTAAGTATAAGTAAAGACTACTTTAAAAACACTGGGTTTACATTACACACACACACACACACACACACACTAAAAATGAATAAAATGGCAACAGAATTGTAGGAAAAAAATGTGAATATCTGAATGAAGGACTTGTATATAACAGAAATTACAGAAATCAGTAAGAGACAAATACGATCTCTGAACAGAATCTTCACTTAAGAACATATGATTTTTAGGCTTAGAAGAGTTGTTTAACATTAATTATTATGAAATTGTAAATAAGACTTCAAAGAGAGTGCTACAAATTCACTAGGATTGATCCAATTAATAAGTGTGACTTCCACTCAAGATGGAGGCCTGGGTAAACACAGTTCACCTCCTCACACAACCATGTCAAAATTAAAACTAAAGTCTAAAACAACCAGCATCCTGAGCCATTAGAAATCAGGTTGAGTGGAAGCGTAACAACTATGAAATTGAAACATACCCATTTAGACTGGTAGGAGGGGCGGAGGTGCAGAATGGGCTGGTCCGACACCCATGTGTGGAGGATAAAAATTTGGGAGGGCTATCTCGGGAGCAAAGGATCCCAGCCCCACACCAGGCCTTCCAGCCCAGGGTTCCAATACCAGGAAGATAAGTCCCCATAAGTCTGGCTGTAAAATCCAGCAGCAATTGAGTCAGAAGAAATTGCTGAATTCCCAAGCAGTTCCTCTTAACCCACACACAGACTTAGACTCACTCCTGCTGAGCTACCTCACTGGGTAGCAGCTTGAAAGGCACCAATGGCATATAGGGAGGAACTGAAGTGCCTGGCATCAGAGCAAAAGCTGGGGGACAGCCTTCCGCCAGGCAGAACTGTGGGTAGAGGCCAATGCTCCTCTTATGAGCCCTGCCCCTCCAGCTCCACAGAGCCATCAGGTGGGCACCATATCACAAGTTTGCCTCACCTTGGTGATTCCTTAAGGCCCCACACCAGCCGATGTTTAGACCCAGCCAAGCAGCTAACAGGGGCTTTTCCATCTGAATGGCTTGTCTGGGCTCAGGCTTCAGATCTTTCTAAATTCTCTCAAGCAACAGCCAGCCTCAGTGAGCCGCCAGTCCCTACACCTCTTGCTAAGTAGCCCAAGGCCCAGCACCAGCAGCAGCCAGCTTTGGTACACAGCTCGGCTTCACCTGGAAACCTCCAAGCCCAACACAAGTAACAGCCATCTGCAGATTGCTTTGTAGTTCATGCTGGGTGGCTCCGGGCAGAACACAGGTAGTGACTGACCCTGGACTGCACCACGCAGGAGACTGCAGAGCCTGCACACCCAGTGGACTGCTACAGACCAAGGTGGAGCATCACCACCTTTCCCGTGCACATTTAATCCTTGATGGAGAGCAGAGATTTATGGTCAGTGGTCACAACCAGTCCTTATGATACAGAGATATCTGATCAGATCACGGGAGAGGAAGGGAGGGCTGTAAGTATGTTTGCTGAGGCAATGGTAAGCAGACTAGGAGAGAGCTGGCTGATCAGCTGAATGCCTTCAGAATTCATGGAAATAAAAAGCTGGCTCTCTGGCTGATGGCTGTCTGGCTCCTGGACTGGCTGGCTCTGGCTCTTAAACTCTCTTCCTCAAGGATGCCTGGATGATCGTGCTGCAACTGCATGTTTCCCAAATGACATATTTTGGATGGAAAGGAACTCCAAGTACAGCCTAGGAT